AAGAGGCATCGACTCCTCTCCAAGACCCACCAGTGTCCGGGCGGGTAAACTGATCTACGAGCCACAAAGGAAAAGAATATCCATCTATCTATCTATCTATCTATCTATACACACACACACACATAAATATATAATATAAACATTACGTATTTATATACCTCAGTCACACTACCTTAGTGCGATAACTTTACCGTAAGTTTTCTAAAATACTGTAGTACAGTGATTCCCAACCAGGGGTACGTGAGCATATTACAGGGGGTACATGGAACAATTTCCCAGGTGTGTTAAAAAATAAATAAAAATAGGACTGAGATATGTAATAGGGCCCAACGATTTCCAATCACGAAATTAACACAAAATGGAATCTAGTATAAAACACGGAATCTCACAGGATTGGCTTATTTGGGGTATTTAATGTATTTTGGATGCTGCTGCTTCCTGCACCTGCCTGGTTTATTTATTTAATTACTTATTCAYTTTCAAGGCAACATATTTATCTTTGTTTAATTTGAGTTGAAAAATATAAAATGCCTGAGAATTAAACATTCTAGGGGGATTAAATATATAATTTTTATTTAATAATCAGTTGTTGTACATTAAACATTTTGGAGAGTCATCATTACGTTTGACAGAGGGGGTACTAGTAGAATGACAAAATGGCTCAGGGGGTACACAAGTCTAAAAAGGTTGAGAACCACTGATGTGGTGCATCTTGTTTTCTCAGTTTATATTTCAGGTCTTCAGTCATGTTATATTAAAAAATTTTTTTGACAGGATCGTGGACATGTTGCAAGACTTCAGTGCCCATCCTCAACAAAGGGCTTCCCTTTTGCAGTACATGGACTTGTGACTCTTCATGACTCAGATAACACCTCGTGTTGAAATATCACAAACCAGGAACAATCTCTATCAAACGCTCTGTAATAAACTCCCACTTTATAATGGTTATACTTAGTTTCTGCAGATACGTAGGCAGAGGTCCTTAGGTTCATCTGGTTACTCTAATCTCACTGTATTGTGATAACAGCTAAAACAGAAACATCCTGTATGCAATGATTCCAGCATCACAACAATGAAAGTTTTTTTTCTATTGTTTCTTGTTTTGATGCTCAACTAGACCCATCTGTGCCATTAAAATACTTATTTTATAAACTAAAGAAGGTTCAAGGTTTTAGGAGCATTGTGCTGCATCCTTCTCAAAAATGCATTTTCCTTTCCTACATCTGTGGAACAATGCTGACAGGAACAATGTGTTTCCCCCAAACTGGGCATTAAAATCTTACTTCCAAAGACGCTGGCATGTTAAATGGTTTTCCTGATACTTAAGCTTTAAGACATGAAAAAACACACTTCAAGGAAACTACAAATGAGCAATTACCAAATTAAAGTAGAATGGGGAGCATCACCTGTTTAGTTGATGCAGATTCATCCACAATGTTTCCATAGACAAACTGGTGCTTCATGCCATTGTAGTCATAATTGATCCTGGGTAACTCAAAATCTGATGGAAAGAAAATCACAGGGTTTTGTTCTTGCACATAAGAGAAAAACAAGCAAAATAAATCAGAGATTTGTGAATAAAATAAATATAAAATGAATAAAACAAAAGCTCAAGGTTAAAAAAACTGAGAGCAGGTAAGGAAGAGTTTGTAAAATCAGGTGATGCTAAAGGGCCAGGTGGAAAACATGAAGGTCACAAGACGCCGAGAAAACAAACAAACTGGTAAAGAAGTCCTGGTGAGACTGGATTTACTGGGTTTTACCTTCACAGAGGACCTCTGCCTGACACACAAGTTTGCCTTCTTTCTCCTTCACAGCGCTGGCTTTTGTGTATTTGAGTTTTACCATATTGTCTCCAACTGCAACGCTCTGCAAAACCACAAAAGTCAGTAAGGTAAAAAAAAATACATAAATAAAAATGAAGACACAGGTTGAAATCCATTCCAGCTTTTTCGTTGCCCACCTTGTCCGGGTGAATGGGAATTGCAAACCTTCGATAACTTGGTTTGCAGTTGTCTTTGTTTTGGGACCTAGCAGCTTCTTTCAGCTTGCTCAGGTAGAACATGTCATAAAGGCTGGTGTTGTCGTAGGCAATGACGTCAAAGACCACGTGACCGTCATCTTCAAAGGCGTTCACATGATGATAGACCACCATCGCTCCAGTGGAGTACTTCATCTCCACCTCTTTGCCTGTTTTTTTGTCAATCAGATGGATCAGAGTCTAAAAAAGTCATAAAAATAGAGTTATTGTTACCATCCTCTAATCCAGATAAACAAAATTAGTGACATAAAGACCATAAAGCTAACCACTCCTTACATTTTCATCCGGGTTGTACTTCATGCAGCTGGCCCAGTTCACTCCCCTCATGTAGGCGGTGGCCATCTTGAGGATGTCCAGCTTGAACGGCTGCTCGATGAARACGATGTAGTTGTCCGTCATGCCGAAGCTGTGGTAGTAGCTGGGCGTGAGGAGAGAGCGGCAGGGAATCGTGCAGACCACCYGGGCGTTCTTCAGCGCAGAGACGGTCTTGCCTTTGTCTAAAAGGTGACAGTAAAAAGACTTCAGCGACTGATTATTTCAGTGCTTCGCAACACAAACGTCATTATGGATAAAAAAAAAGCACTATTCCTGTAAATCTAACCTATTTATAATTTAAATAGATAGACATATCTATATCTATATCTATATCTA